AATTCTTCAAATATTTAATTTCATTATTTTGATATTCACTGGGTTTTGAAAATGCAGATTTTCTCAGTTAAAACAACAAGTTCCATTGTGTTTTTACAGGTTCACTGTAAATTTAAAACCCATTGAATAATAAAAGTTTACAATAAGCACTGGCATGCTATATTCCATGAAAATAATGTATTGTACACTAATTGTTCTGAAAGATTGTCTTACATTATCATAACAGTTTTGTTTATGTCTTTTATTATGATAATTACTTACTTATATTTGCAAAGGGGAAATCCAATCTTTTCAAGGTTGCCAGCCTTCCTGCAAAAGCTTATCTATAAACAACTTATACCACTAAAACTCATCATGTGAGCAACTTTACTTGTAATTTTAAACCATTTTGCTGATTATGGAAGTTATGTGTGTCTCTGGTCTCTGAGTTTCATTTTACCAATAAACTTTGTTGTGACTCATCGTTTTCCATGGATGGAATTGGTTGTTTGTTTGTTATGGATGTTGTTGTATGACTTTTCAAGCACTGCCTCAGAGTACCAACATCTCCTGAGTACCGTATTCACAGCAAAATTAATTTCAAAGTGATTTTATCAGTCTCGGTTGGTCTATCTTGAGTTTAGTGATAATTGCCTGGAATTTCAATGTAGTGCATTACTAACATGTTTATTTGTTTCAATGTTCCCCCGCAAACCAAATCAAGCTTCAAACTTCTTTTCATTCAGCTGGCAAGTGTTAGTGTGGCTTGGTTTGGTTTGATGTGTTAATTAAAAAAAAGCTTTGAAAATAGTAAATGTGATCATGCTCATCAGTCAAAGTAAACTGTTTCAGAGTTGCGGCCATGTTTTGATCCAAAATTTTGAAAAGGTGGTACAACAAATTACGCAGATTTATTTCATGACTGGTGACAACAATTTTTAATATTCAAAGGTTAAACAAACAAGCTTTACATGTTTGGTATGTGTACATTGAACTTGACATTCATGGTCATGTATTAAAGTGAGTGTAATTTATATGGTAATATCTTTCCTGATAGGAGGCAGAAGAAAAAGAAGAAACAAAGGAAGTAGATCTTAGTAATTCTGAAGTTGAGGATGGTGAAAACTTGGTCCATATGCCGTCACAGGGCAAGACGATCAGTAACATAGAAGTCCATTCTTACATCAAGTAAGTAACAATAGTTTTTTTGTTAGACAAATTGTTGGGGTGTTTATTTTAAACTTTTTAGTCCCCGTTCGGACGTAGTCCGAAAACGGGGACTTATGTTTTGCCCTGTGTGCGTCCGTGCGTCCGTGATCACCTGTATCTCGAACATGCATGGACCGATTAAGTTCAAACTTCACTCATACATCACACATTATATGGGACATATGCACATGCATTTTTTTCATGATCCGATTAACGATAGCCGAATAGCGGCCATTTTAAGGCCGAAAATGCATCAAAATTGCACATTTTCACCATTCCGGACCCGGATCTCAGTTATGCATGGACGGATTTTATTCAAATTCGATACATACATTAAACATAATAGGACCTTGGTGCACGTCATTTTTGACTCCCATGTGCGAAGCACAAAATGGGAGTCTTTGCAGTTAGTGTGTCTGTATGTGTGTATGTGTGTATGTGTGTATGTGTGTGTGTATGTGTGTATGTGTGTCCGACTGTTCCACTGCTATCTCAAGAACCATACATTGGGTTTT